TGATATGAAGAACACGTTCGTGACGTCGTGACTTATTGACATCGTTTTGACCGACGTCACTACATTAAGTGTATTATTGACGTCACGAAAATCACCACATCAATTATAACTCGCATTCCTCGTGGCAACCCTTCCGTGCTACCGGATTAAAAAACCAATTTGAACAATGTACCTCGCAACAATTTATGTCCTTACGGTGGAATATATATGGATTAAATTGTTGAAATTAAATTGATGATTTTGTGTCTGTTTCCACGAACTATATTGTTTTGCCGGGACGGTCGCGTGTACTCGTGACGTTACAAGAACAGGTCCCATTGACAGACAGCTCGAAATTCGATAACAGGTTGGCATATAGGAAAAAGGAAATAAAAACATTACACTGCTTTCTTTAAACGCGCGTTATTCAATTTGTATGCAATCCTGTCCGGTGATATTTCAATGCTAGTTCGAGNAAAAAAGTGTATCTCAAAGGTTCTTAAGTATGCATTCTCAAATTTTAAGTTGAGAACGGGCTCAATATTTGAGAATGGTAAGGAGCATGCTTAAATATTTAAGAACGTGCTTAAATACACAAAATGGCCAACTGTAATTGTCTGATCAGTCATGAAATTCAGCCGCTAAAAACGAGTAAGGAGACGAAAGGCACAGTGTTTATAGTTATTTTTCATTTATCTATTTATTTATTTATTCATAATTAGCCAACACTTTGGATATAATTAGAAAACCAGCATTTGGGGCCATTCGATACAGTCTTCTATCACTGAATGTCAATAAAATCAGACATTGGCAAATAACTAAATGGCCTATTTGGTTATGGGGAAAAGGAAAATTTTACCAGAGGATTTGGGGCAGGTTCTGACCCCACCCGAGTAAAATTTTCATATCAGGAATACATGCATAATGATAGGCACCTTTCCTCAAATATTTCTTACCCAGATCTAGATAAAGGAAATGTTGTAAATGCAACAATTAATGTCATAGCGTTTCTTATTATATTAGCAATCTCGTTACAACCTGTTAATCTCGTTCCATGCATTTAAAACTAGGTCATTGCTTTGTTAATGAGAGAAGTATTACATATAATGTAGTTATTGTTGTTAATTGTTTGATTACCGAACTGACTGATTAACCGGTTACTCGGTCAGAAGATGTTTCAAGTAACCGGTTAGTAAAGAGCTAAGGCAGGTTGCTATGCCTATACCCCAAATCTATGACCTGCTATAGTGCGCGCGTCCAACCGTGCACTATTATGACGCGTACTCGGGTATTTCTATACAGGTAGCTCTATCGGAATCACGTATCTAAGAATAGATTATTATAAACAGACGAATTTAAGGTCATGGCTATTAATACATGCGTTTCACGATAAAGACTCAACAAAATGCTTATTTCGCGTTATGCTGTATAAAACACGAGGTCGTACAATCATAACCAAGTTTGGTCTACGTCATGCCGTTACATGTTTTCTTAAAAAGCACGCATCTTGAATTTGTTATTCCTGTACCTTGGAATGGTAAAATTACATATAGTTTTCAAATAGCATATTTTGTATTTCGGCATCATTTGTTTGTGTTTAGATAATACATAAAAATACTAGTGCCAATTGGAGGGTAAAACAATTCATAAAACAAAGCGTAGCTGTACTATACACGCGTACAGGGATTTGTTGACATGATCCCATAAAAGATAAATCAATAGGTATGTTATTACAATATCAATAAAATGTTCCATTGATTTGAAAACTATTTTTTAGTTTACTAAGGAAAATGATCACTTGCCTAAATATTAAAAAAGAAAGAAGAAAAAAAGTGTATCTGAATGTGAATTCGAACCTACACCGTTCATATTTCTGGTTACAAGCTATCTGCGTTACACATGAGGTTACATGTACACCGGACATAGACGAAGATGGAAATACAAACTCCTTTAACCCAAGAAACATCTGTCGCAGTTTTGAAAACTTGATCAACCATGGAGGACCACTTTACCGTCATACGATTTGTTTTTGCATATTCAAAAGTTGGTCCTCGGATGGGAAAGTATTAAAAGCATTTTTTTAAGTCGGAGAAGCCCCATCACTTTCATAGATATAGT